AGGGGAAAATTTTTTCTAGTGCTCTACGAGATTGTTAATAACTTTGTAATAATTAAATATTTTTTAATAAAAATTTAGCGTAATCATCTTTAATGTACCCTTAATAAAATAAAAAAAGTCCGATCCCCAAATTCCTTTATTTTCCCTGTCAAAAAAATTCCCGAAAATCACCTCTTTTTTTCGATCGTCTATAAACTATACAATATAAACTATAAAAGCTTATACAATACAAAGATCGTTTCTGCTACCACACAAAATTCTCCCCAAAGAAATTTCAAATTATTTAGTATTAATAAAAAATTAGTTGGAATAAATTCTGAAAAATTTGAAAAGAAATCTAAAATTTATACAGTTATCGTATCATTAAATTTATTTTTCTATAATTTACTGTATATTCGGTAATTGAACCTCATTTAGATCTAATTAATGATAAACTTTTATTTTAAAAATATTGTAACTTCCTGTCAAGTTATTTACATTCGTTGCATTGTAAAAGAAATTCTTAAATCAAAGAAAAAAAATTCGAATCAAGAAAAATTTCTTAGTTTAAGAATTTTACTCAAATCAAGAGGATGAAGTTTTTCAAAATTATTTATTTGATTGATATAAATTTCTTTTTCTGTATAACGAACTTAATAACCGAGGTAATGAAAATTTTAGGTAGTGTCTGTGGAGTGCACCAGGTTGATCGGCGCTATGTAAATAGGATCCTGATCGTGACGTGGGGCAACACGCGACGTTAACGGGGCAAGTAAGTTCTCGAGCGTATGGTTATAAGTATAAGTATATTCTCTCTCAGTTACAGTGGCACGACCTGTGTCGTCCTGGCATGTACACTGTTACTCTACTCTTCTTTTCTTCTGTTTCATTCTGTATCGTTCGCCGGTAGAGCTTGTGCTCTACACGCGCTCGAGATATGCTAATGCCCCGTCCCACGATCGTGACACCGTTCCTGCTAAGTGAGAGCTCAACAACGAGCTTCTGTCCTCCCTCATCTTTCAATACTCTACATACATATAATATTATCTTTCAATACTAGAAGAAGAAGAAGAAGAAGAAGAAGTAGCAGTTGTAGTTGCCGATGTAGTCGGAAATAATTTTATTTTTCAGATATATAAGACAAGTCAGACCAAAGAGCACTCGAACCAGGATCGTCTTCGGCAGAAGGTTGATGAATACGAGGATCTCTGGTTCATCGCCAGGGAGTCTCTAATTCAAGGCCTGATGACGACGTCTTCATTCCGAAGCAGCAACCACCGGACCAACGAGATTGCCGATTGAATGCTATAAGGCTATGTCGACTGCCGGATTAAGAGTAAGTACCTGATGAATAAGAAAAAGAATAAGAGGAAGATCAAGAACAAGTGGAGTTGGAGGTGGAAACTTCATGAATAATGTCTTCAAGGTGATCGGTACTTCTTGGAACACGCGATATCACGACCCGTATACTCTATACCTACTAATACTCCAGCTTCTGTTCGTTCAGTTCCTGAAACCTGATCAGATCTATAGACTCTGCTTTGATTTTTTCTCAAACGAATTTAAATAGGCCTCTTTTTAATTTACTTACATCGTATACGTTTCACTCTACAACAGTATCATCTAATTTTGTTCTTCCTAATCTTTATCTCGTAGAGTTTAATTTCTTTTGATATTGTTGATGCCTAAATACAAAAAATATAAGATCATATTTTAAAAAAAAATGTTTTTTTTCTTTTAATTAATATTATCAGTTATTTTTTTGAGATAATTTGTAATTAAAAATAACTTTGTCGGTGATAAGAAAAAATATTTTACTGTTATCATATCGTCAATTTTATTTGTCTATAATTTACTCTACTTTCGGTAATTAAACCCCGTTTTGATCTCATTAATGATAAGTTTTTAATTGAAAAATTTTGTAACTTCCTTTCAAGTTATTTATTTCTAATGTAATGCAGAAAAAATTTTTTAAAAAAATATTATTTATAAATGGTAGAAAAACTGATGGTAATTTTTTATCGTGACTCTTAGCCCCTCTCTAGGTATTTAATAACAAGTCTCAATACGTAAATTGTAATGATAAAGTGATAAAAAGAATTAAAAGATGAAACTTAATAAATTTCTTGTAGTGACTATGCGTCGCAAAGAAAGGGCAAAATAAATGTACAAGATTGTCAAGATGAATGAGGAATGCAATTTTACATGGACTATTCAAATGACATCAATTCAAAGGTCTACTGAGGTTAATCCAATACATTTTATTCAAGGAAGTTCACATGTGTAATTTATATCACACGTATATAAGTATCTATACATGCACACTCTTGCTCTTGCTTTTGCTTTAGCTTTTGCTCTCTTTTTTTATCTTTACACGAATGTAAATAAGGCCAAGACGGT